TATTGTTACAGGGTGGACTTTGGACACTTTCCTTGCATTTGTTCTTCCTTATTGAAAACTGCAAGAATTTCTAAACTTGCTAATTTAATATATATTTTGTGCCAAAACCTATGGTGAGATTTTAATGTTCACACGCAAAGGAGAGAAACACAAGGGAAAACAGCGACATGCTTTCCACAGTAGTCTCGCCTCCACCCCACGTATGTTCCATTAGTTTTCTGTATCACATACGTGTACTTACTTTTTGGGCATTCTCATTTCAAATGTTTCTGTCAAATACTTCTTCACGTAATGGCATTTCTTAACGAGAACAGTATTTTCAGCTTAAAGGATGACAGCAGTCAGCATTCATCAATAGTTCTGGTTCTGAGCTGCAGATTTAGGAACCTGACTTCAAACGTCAAAGAAAAATCTGCCCCAAAAGTGGCCTTTCCAATGGATTTTTAAGGCCCTATTTAATTGCAGAGAACAGATTTTCCAAAGCAAAAAGCACACCTGCATCTCCTGTGAAGCATCACCTCTAAATTGGCAGTAACCAGAAGTAAGCTTCCCTTATTTTAAATGAGCAATAACAGGCTTTGAAATGTAGCTACTTATCTTGGGTATTCCTTAACAATTAATTTAGGCCCAAAACGTATGCAGTTTTAGTAACAGGGAAAGCGGGCCTATCGAGAATGCACACTTGTGCTTGCCATCTGCCACTATTTCAACACCCATCGATACAGCTGCAGTTTAACAACTCCTCATGTTGTTATAAGGACCGATTCAAACGCTTGTAAAAATCAACAGACCAGTTTTTGGTTTCTCTTAAGCTGGGCTGTGCTTTCTCTCTTTTCTCTCCGAGAAGACAAGGCAAAGCGTGGACTAGCCTGCACCACAGTAAGTAGTGGGTTAGTAAAGGGTGCGGAAGCCTGGTGTTCTGTGATGGACTGAAGGAAGGAGTAAAATTCTTATGCCCACTATTTGTGTTTTTTCTTAGGACTTATCTCTGAACTCTGAGGGCGTAAGTTCTCCGCTGGTTTCTCTCAGCCTGTAAAGGGAGCATGAAATCCTTCTAAATCAGGTCACAAACTGTCTGTGTATTTCTTGTTTGGGGTTTTTAAACCTCTCTGTAACAACCAGTGAGTAGCTCCTTAGGTGCCACTAGATAAATCACTGTACTGGCAGGGATTGAAAAGACAATAACTGTAGTTGTGAACATTTTTACTCAGGACGAGCAAGTCAAAAATGGAAATAAAAAGGTAATAAATTAAAATTGTGCATACCTGTGATGATAGTTTGGTTAAAATCAGTTGTATGTAATTATTTTCAAACAGTTGTTCTTGCTCTGTATGTGACTTCAACTACAGATGTAAAAGGCATGAGAAGGTGAGAAAATTAATGGGGTTCATAATGTTTTTGAGGTTTTTAGCTGAATTTTTTGCAGCCTTTTTGCTTAGCTGGTAGAGATGTAAAAAACCTCTAAACTGAGCAATCCAGTGGAAAGAACAATGGCTCACATACCTCGGCTGATAAACCCCAGGAAAGCCCCGTGCATGAAGGGATACGGATGCTGATGTTCTCAACCAAGTTGTAGTTGCATTAGGCCAGGACTGAAATGTGTTGGTGCAGCTGTTTGGAAGCTTTTGCATAAGCTTTCCCAGTTCTGTCTTCTGTGCAGAGAGGCTACTGTGAACTGTATTGACTTCTTTTCCTGTACAACTGACTTAAAGCACAATAAAAGCACTGAGAGAAAGACACATCTTTCACAAGACTGCCTTTCTCTCTGCAGACATATGCAAATGTTCAATGGTTTTCTTACAATTCAAGTAATCAAAATGCATTCATGTGCAATAAAATTACTCTGAGATCATACACAGAAAAAAACCAAAGCCAGTGGAGGTTGTGTGTTGAGAATGGAGTTGCTACAGAATATACCGGTTTCATCCATTTTCATTCAAAAAGGAAAACCTTTTTATTCTGCCCTTATGAATACACTGCTCGTTTTGCCTCACACCACAGTTCACCAATTTGTAAGGTAAGTTACTGTGCTCCCAGTTCCATCCAGTTACTTCTTTCGTAAAGTTCAGATTTTAAACTTTTTTTAAAATACTCTGTTATTTGGGCAAGTCAAGTCCCCAAAATAGATGTCAGAACACATTATACATCAAGCTAATGTTCACCTCGCCTTTTTTTTTTTTTCCTCTTTTAAAACAACCTCCTTGAGAGAGACAATTCTAAGAAGGTAAGTCGAGGTCTGTTGTCTTGGAGTATGACCTTTAGAATTCTGTGTTATTCCACTGACTTGTGTTATTTAAAATAAAAATAATGCTTTATGTTTGTGAAGGAGGCGAGAGAGAAAATACATACACACATGTCTACAGACTAACGTTGGTAATAATAGCATCACATCTTGCTGCTCAAGTTGTTTAATAGATAATTGATGCACATTGTTAAACTGCATCATACAAAATTAGTGTTAATTAGTTGAAGACAATACCATTACAATAAAAGCTGTTAACAATTCTAAAATTCCATTACCATGGTAACTTACATGACAACACAAAGAAAGGGTGTCGGAGTAGTCTCAGCCACGAGTGTGAAAGCAAAAGCATTTCCTAAAAATCAGTCTTGTTTGCGCTTTTCTCCCTGGGAGATCCCAGCTGTTCTACACCCTGAATGCAGGCCTCGAGACTTGCTGGGCGTAGAGGCAGTCCTTTTGACTGGCACCCACCTTTCTGTCTGGCTTAGAGCTGCCCCTCCTCCATGCTTATTATTTTGACAGCAACTTTTGATATCTTAGAATCCCTGTCCGTATCACAGTATACAAGGAATTGCAAATTATGTGCTATTCTTTCCTGGTTTTGTCAAGAAAATACTCAAGTGTGACCAGTAAAGAAGTTGACCACCGAACATTCCTTACATAGCCAAATACTGCTACCAAAATCTAGCCGCGTGCTCATTTCAGCCTCTGAAAGGTTTTCAGACCAGCTTGCTTGTTCTAGGTTAAGTGATGCTACTGCTCACAACAGAATTAATTTGTGCTTTTACATGACTGACACAGTTTTGGTTGGTTTGTAAGTCAAACCACCATGAATGCTCATATTCCCCTTCACTTAAAAACAGTGACCATCCCTCCCTCCCTTAATACTATCTAGGACCCCATCTAGCTATCTGGGACACCTGTCTGTCAAAAGTTTGCTGGTTTGTAGGGGTTAAGGAAAGTATCACAGATACTACAGCAGTTCTTCACTAAGAGACCAGCTGTGCCCTGGTCTTAAAGGCTACCATGAACTTTTAGAGCGAGTAGACAAAAAGCCTTCCTCCAAGTCGAGCTTTCGCCGAACTTCTCTCTGCTGCCACTACAACTTCTTTCTGCAAAGACACAGAACAAACGTTAGCAAAATGCAGCTGCAGGTGTATGATTGCCTTAAGCTTCCCTAATGGAAACCAGATTTCGTCCATGTCATTAGCGTCACACAGAAATGTGATGAGGAGAAACAAGAAAGCGACCCACCTCATCAGAATAGCGGTTAACAAAATGATTTGGCAAACAGACTTTATTTCATTTGGGGAAATGGAAGAAGCTGGAACCAGTCAAATAAATCCCTTGCCAATGTAAACTACTTCTCAGGGGTAAGATCAATACAGATGGAAGCTGGAGCGTGGACTGGAACACAACTGCTTGGAGAATGGCCTCACTTGCACTTGTGCAGAAACCATCAGCGTGCCTTTGTTTCGGGTGTTGGATTATGCACCCTAAACTAGTTTAGAAGCATTTACATTTCCAGGTGTTTCTCCATTGCATGTTTTAACAGCAGGAAGTCAAACACCGTTTGTTGAAGACCAGCTGCCCACCTCCTCAGGCTAGTACTGAGGCTTTCTCAGTACTCCCACAGAGAACCTCAGTTCTCACACAGGTTATGTCAGAGTAAGCAGAACATTGGACTCTCCTCAGCTGAACAAGCACTAAGTAACCTTCAATCTGAAAAAAAAGGTTCCTCAGTGCATCGTACAAACATAGGGATTGACTTTTGGTAAAAATGACGGGCATCTGAGGGAAACAAAGAGAAACAGGTACGCAAACACATCCAAAATCATTCCAGTAAGAACTGGGCCTCTCTATGCTTGGAAATACTTGACATATGAACAGCGTTCACTGCAAGTGATAGCTAGGACAGCGAGTCTGTAAATATTAATGAGAGGGGTGGTTCGGTGCCTGGTTTGCCCCATAGCTGAGCATCCACTTTGCATACAGGCTGGCATGAACAGTAAAGCCAGTTGGCACCTACACTTGATTCACCATGCAACCTTTCAGCAAACTCCTAAGTAGTTTAGATTTCAGGCCATTTTAAAGTGATCTCTTTCAAGTCAGGTGTCAGGTGCCAACATTTTGACAACTCCATAGTTCATCCACCTATAAAATGGTTTTAATTATCAAGTCAGAGCGTGACTTAAATGAAAACTTAATTAATTATGTAAAGCACTTAAGACTTCTGCAAATGAGTAAGATACATACGTGAGGTGTTGGCTGTTGCATGCAAGTGAGGTAGAAAGATGTTATGAAGCAACATAATTTTTCTCACCTTTCTTTCAGATTTCACAGTGATAACGGAACTCCCAAATCGTGACAGTTCCTGTAAAACAACATTGCTTGTCAAAATCCTGTTAGTTTTTTTAAAGTGGGACTTTCTCGTTTCTCTCAGTAGTTTGTTTTCTGGTTACTTACCTCAGGAGAAATCAGGACATACTGTGCCTGAAGAAGAAAAAAAAAAGAGAAAATAAAAAGTCCGTGGAGAGAACCACACTAGGAACGTAGAAGACCAGTGCAATAACCTGGCTCCTAAACAGCAAAGTAATTAAAAAATGAACAGGAGGAGCCAAATCACACAGATTCAGAAAGGTAAGTAACCTTCTGTTTTCTGAAACCAAGTCAATGCACCAGATATTTGCACTGGATGTAATTAATTAGCTGTCATTATGACCTCATGTCCTGATTTCACTTTTATGTTTTCTTACCCAGTCCTCAGGACAGGGAGATATCCATGATTTGCAGTGGCCCGTCACATTCCCTGAGGATGCCTGCTTTCCATTGTAGATGTAAACACGGCCAGCTGCCCCACCAAACAGTATTGTGGTGATACCGTTAGTTCGCAGTGGGGACGCCACAATCATTTCATCTGCAAATATTACAAGGATGACATGACACATCACAAGTGAAATAATGCTAAACCAAAACACGAGAGAGTTGGCATTTACATACCTCTGGATGCTACAATTCCTATTAATGATGACAGATAAAATGTTTCAATTTCTGACCAAGTTGCTTGGGATTTTAGAGATGCCTCCCCACAAGGCACAATGAGTACTTGTACAAGTCAATTGAGGAAGCAGACTGTATTTAGCACTCGTATGAATATGTAGGTGACCGGTCTTCCCATTGGCAAAAGTAAAACATTTCACCTCTGATCTAGATTCATCAAGCTTTACCTAGTCCATCATTATCCAGGTCACTTAAGTGTACATCTCCTCCAAAGCGAGAAAACCTCCTGTCCCCACTGAATGTGCTGAGCAAAGAAGGGTTGGTGCTGCCTGTCACATCGTATACCAGAGCCAGTCCAGCTTGGTGCAGCACTGAGGATATAAATGAAATCCTAGACAGGCTATCTGGAAAAAAAAGTAGTAACAGAAGTTGAGCACCAGACACGGGAACTTAGGTTTAGTACTTGCAATACATTGACAGCAGATAATACTGGCATTACATAACATGGACAAAATTAATATAATTTATGAATAAGGTCAAACATTATATGGCATTAACGCTAATTAGCATAGAAACAATCTCTTAGCAATACTAGCAGGGGAAAAATGCATTCAAGTTAGAGTTCTACATTTTGACTTTCCTAATTCCTTACTACCTACTGCCAAAGTGAGGACAAAATACCGTGTTGCTTTAATTCCAAGAAATACGCAGTCTAGCAGCAAATCACTGCTACATAAATAATGCAAGGTAATAATGCTGCTAAACTAATTTTAAGGAAGGAAAAAACCCATTGAAGTTGAGGCACAGTACAGAGGACTCTACAGAGAACGCACTTGTAGGTGGTTACAGTGATTACTTCTATTTTTTTCTTAATTACATGGCAATTAAAAGGTCCCTTTTCTAACTTTTAATTTTGTATCTATCCTCTGGCCATATAGAAACAAACATCCCAAAGCAGAAACGGTTTCCAATTTTCAGAAGGACATACCTGCAGTAGGTGCACCCACCACTAAAACTGTCCTTGTGATCCCAGCCACAGACATCACACCACTGGCCAGAGACAAACCCATTCTGCCCATCTCCTGTTAGATTTTTAAAAGACCTACGTCATTTCTACAGAATGTCACTTTATTTCAAATTATTCATAAGGTCCCATACTATAGAAGGAGCCCTACCTTGTCTCCAGTTACTGCAAACCAGTGCTTTGTGCTTGGTGGGTTATACCCATAAACCTTCCCAACACTCTGTCTGACATCCGATGAGAAGGGATTGCAGCTTGAATTACAATGCAAAATATATTTGTATGTAAGAACATGTTTTTGTACATTCAGCTAGGATTGCTCCTCTTAAAATATCTTCCCCTTTTCGTTTGGAATAACAGTGGCTGCCAAGTTCTAGAAATCTATTTTAGTAATTCCCATGCTTGTTCTAACTAGTTACAAGACATTTAGGGCACAGACTTGGTCTGTCTATCCACTTCTTTATCACCCAATACATTTTTGTGTTCGGTTTGCTTTTAAAAATGCTATCTCAA